CATGGAGCTAGAATGCTTTGTGTCTAGGTGGTAGGCTGACTCCTTCATAGTAGTTGAAATGCACTAACCATGAAGGTCATTTGTGTACTTAAAACAGCAAGCCGCATCTTACGTCATCTCCTTTGAAAGTAGACCAGAGTTGAGAACCTTCTTTATTTTATTGACATTTCGCGGTTCATATAAAAAATGCATCAATGATATAAGCACAAATATAAGTAGGTAGTATTTTCACAGAATAAAAGGTTGCGGTCTATAGTTGGGATATTAAGCCACCACTTACATTAACTTATGCCTAGAATAAACCTCCATAAATGCATTGAAAAAATTAATCTTCCAATGGTTGAAAAAAATCAACCTTCCGACTGGGCCACATGGCTGACTGGTTTGGTTCCACATTCCACTTGGGCTAGAGCTCTTGGAATATGTCCCTGTCAGCATTCTTCGCTTAAATTCAGCTGGACGTGCTAGTCATTCAAAAGGGGAGTGCTCCCAAGGTGGGGCTTCTGGAATGAGGGGTGGGAGACATAGCAAGGCCTGCAGAGCTTAACAGCATTTCCAAAGAGCTAAAAGGAATTTAGTCCTTCATTCCAGAAAAAATGTATGGCAGGAGTCCCACATCCCAGGCATTTAAAGTATATCTGTTGATATAAACAAAAATGGGAAGAAGAAAATCACTCCATTCATGGGTCTTTGTTACTCACATCGTGTCTCAAATTGCTTTGGAACTGAAGCTTCCAGCGCACATTTAGTAACTTGGCTGGGACAGGTGTGAGGGGACTTCGATGTGTGTGTAATGTTGTTATTGTTGCTGTTGTCACGCAGGCAACTGGAGACAAAGTACGAAAGGCTGTCCACAGGTAGAGGTTACGTCTCCCGGAAAAGAAAAGAGCACCTAGTGGCAGGATGTGAATTCCCGCTCCACCAAGAGAACTCTGAGATGTGCAGAGCGGCGTTTGCCCCTCAACCGGAGAGTACGTCCAGCGGATGGTTTTGAAACTGACCAGTGATATTTCACTGGAATTTGTCTCCCCAAAGGGATGCCATGTGACATGCTTAAGTACTTGCTCTCTGGGAGCACAGTGTTTACATATTCACCTGTATTTAAGATTTTTGTAAAAAGTTATGGAAAACTTCCATTGATCAAATTTGGGGCTATTCAGTATACTACCCCAGGGTCACTTTGAGTGATCATGTGACACCTTTAACGACATTCTTAGTTTTCTTGTATCTCTCTCAAATCCCATTTGGTACAGTGAGAATAGTTCTGCTCTACGAGGAAACTAGTGTTTGTTAAAAACAAAAGCAAACCCACACACACTCAGGAGAACCCAATTTCGTTTCAACAATTTTCAATGTATATGAAGCCCCTTGATAGGACCTTGAGCATGGCAAGAAAACCAAACCTGTTGCCTAATCAGAAAAAAGACAGGCCATTTTTTTTTTCTTTTTCTTTTTTTTTATGGGGGCAGAATTTGGGTCGTCGGGGAAGTGGGGACGAGACTTTTGTTAGCCAGCTCCAAGAATTAATATTTATGTCTTCCGTTACTGTTAGTTTTATTAAGCGCTAAGGTAGAAGGCACACAGGGTTAAAACACACAGTCTCATCTTTCTACTGACCGTGCAGTGAGGTTGCTTGGAAGCCATTCAGACCTCTATTTCCAGCCCTGCAAAAATATTGAACTTAGCACACAGGAGTCAGAAAAATTAATTTCACAAACTCCATTTGATTTTTCTTGTGTTGTGTCTTTTTGAGACTGTAATGTGGTACACTGTCCTTTATAAGGGACATCCTCTTATAGTCACCATTTTGTCTCTGCCTCACTCATTTCGTGGTGGAAGAGCCAGTCCATTTGACGGCACTTTGCACAGTAGTTAGAATGACTGAGAGAACATTGCTTCAAGAAACCAGTGGATTTGGATTTCTGAACTATGAAATCAATAACAGAATGTCTTGAAATTCATGTGAATTAAAAGAACCATGCTGAACATTCGCAAATATTTATTAATAAAAACAGATGTGTTTATTGTGATAAACTCAAAATAAATGACAGGTGCTCATTCATCCATCGAACACACGCCCACGTAAGACGGAAGTTTAGCTGGCCCACTATTGGTTATAAATTGAAAATCAAGTGTGATGAAATAAATATGTGGAAATCTTACTGAATCTCTTTGTCATTCATTACTTCAAACACTGTATTTCTCTGTTCCTGCCACTTTCTGAGCCTGGACACATACACAGTTATGACCCAAATTTTCATAAGGCTCTGGGCTGGCACCCTTATTATTAAGTTACTGAAAGGGAAGGAAAAACCAACAACCGAGGGGGTGGGTGGGTGTGGTGGGCGGTGGCGTTGGCCTTAGGAGGAAGCAAGCCATGAAGATGCCGATGCGTGGGGAGGGCAGGTGGGTTCAGGGCACCAGGCTGAAGACGTGGTGGGCTGAGGGGATCTCGGCCGTGTGAGGTTTGGCAAACTGCAGCTGCCCCTGTGAAACGCAAAGGAATCATTTACCTAACAGTGATGGCCGCGGTGCCCTGAACGTTAGTGTTTGCTACAACCCAACCGCCTACCCGCCACCCCAGCGGAGGACAGACAGGCCTGAGCAGCCCTAACACGCTCCAAAGAAGTAAGAAGCCAGAAGCACGGGACAAACAGTAGCTCCTTTTTAGATCAATGAGGCAGACATTTAAGAGGGGTGGAGTGGCGTTCCCCATTTGGAAATATTAAGATATTGGAGCCAGAAAAATAACTCGAAATCTCACTCGCGGTCGTCTGGTTTCAGCCACTTCACTGTTATAAATGATGACACCTAGACAGGCTTTGCGTCTTCTGCAAAGACGTCTGCTAGGAACCGCACGGTCCTGCGAGCCTGAAGATTCAGCCGGCTCCTGTCCTTCTGTGACGTGTCGCTGTCATTCTGTGTCACACGTCGCAGTGCTGCCTGCGACGAGTTACTCGTTGCTGCTCTGGACCTGACCACCTTCACAGAAGGGCTAAAGCTAGTACTTATTTAGTGCTTATTATATGCCAGGTATTTTTAAGCATTTTACGTAGATTAAATCATTTAATCCTCACAACAACCATATTTAAAAGGGAGTACTATTGTTTCCAAGTTACAGACCAGCACTATCCAAGAGAAGTATAATGTGAGCCACATAAGTAATTTTAAAGAAGTAAATGGAAACAGGCAAAATGAACTTTAGTAATATATTTTATTTAACTCACTATATCCCAAGAATCATAATATCAACATGTAATTAATATTAATATAAAAATTAATGGAATATTTTACTTTTAGGGGGAGGATTAGGTCTTCAAAATGTGATATATATTTCAATATACACAACACATCTCAGTTTGGATTAGCCACATTTCCAGTGTTCGATAGACACGTGTGGCTAGTGGCCGCTGCATTGAACAGTACAAAAGATGGAGAGACTGAGGCACAGAAGAAGTTGAATGACTTAGAAAACAGTAGAAATAAACTCAAATATAAGTAGTCTCACCCCAGAATCTGCGCTCTGAACTCACTGTACTTTATTTCTCAGATCGGTTTGGTTTTAAAGATTTGCTGCTCAAAGAATACAGTCAGTGGGCTGTGAAAATGTCAAACACAGGACAGTAGCAACTGAGCGTTGAGTTGTGTTTCAGAGTTCTGAGAGTCACTGCCCCTTCTCTGTGGTGGGTCGGTCCCTTTCTCTGGTGGTCAGAAGCCCTTGCCCTTTCATAGAATTCTATGTTTTTCTCTGCCAAGTGTCCCTTCCTTCATGAAGGGCACTTCATTCCTAGAGGCAGGTCTGAATTTACAAAGTACATTTTTTGATAATAGCTTTATTGAGATATAATTTATACATTATATAATTCACTCCCTTATAGAATTCAACATTTTGGTATATTCACAGCGTTGTGAATATATATGTGTATTCACATCATACTCAATCTTAGAACATTTCCATCATTCCAAAAAGAAACCTGTACCCTTTAGCTATTACCTCCAATCTCTCCATTGCCCAGCCCTAGGAAATCACTAACCTACTTTCTGTCTCTACAGATTTATTCTAGACACTTCATATAAGCGGAACCATGTATACTATTAATATGTGGTCTTTTGCAACTGGCTTCTTTCACTTAGCGTTGTGTTTTCAAGTTCATCCATGTCGTAGCATGTATCAGTACTTCATTCTTTTTATGGTAAAATAATACTCTACTCAATGGATATGACATTTGTTTTTCCATTCTTTAGTGGACCCTTGGTTTGTTTTCACCTTTTTGATACTATGAATAATCCTGCCACAAACATTTGTGTACAAATTCTGGGGTCGGCATATGTTTTTGTTTATCTTGGATTTGTAGACCTAGGAGTAGCATTGCTGCATCAAATGGTAACTCTATGTTTAACTTTTTGAGACTACTAGATTGTTTTCCAAAGTGACTGAATAATTTTACATTCCCACCAGCAGTGTATGAGGGTTCTGATATTACCACATCCTCATCAACACTATATCTTTCTTTTTGATTATAGCCATCCTAGTGGGTATGAAGTGGTACTCCATTATGGTTTTGATTTGTATTTCCCTAATGACTAATGATGTTGAGCATCTTTCAATGTACTTATTAGCCATTTGTATATCTTCAAATCCTTTGCCCTTTTAAAAATTGAGTTATTTGCCCTTTTATTATTGAGTTATCAGAGCTATTTATATATTTTAGGTATAAGCCCCTCTTCACGTACATAATTTGCAAATATTTTCTCTCATTCTGTGGGTTGTCTTTTTACTTTCTTGATAGTGTCCTTTGAAGTACAAGAGTGTATAATTTTGGTGAAATTTAATTGATCTATTTTTTCTTTTTTTGTTTTCACCTTTGATGTCATATCTAAGAAATCATTGACAAATCCAAGGTTGGAAAGATTTACTCCTATGTTTTCTTCTAAGAGTTTTATAGTTTTAGCTCTTAAATTTAGGTGTCTGATCCATTTTTATATGTAGTTTGTAGTAGGGGATCCAAATCTGTTCCTTTGCATATGGATATTCAGTTGTCCCTGCAGTGATTGTTAAAGAGATTACTCTTTCCCTATTGAATTGTTTTGGCACCTTGTTGAAAATCCATTGGCTCATTTCTGGACAGCCAGTTTTATTCCATGAATCTATATGTCTATCTTTATGCCAGTACCACACTGTCTTGATTACTGTTGCTTTGTAGTAACTCAATGGCAAGGAATAGAAGTGGGTTTGAACCCAGGTATCTCTGTCTTGAATAAACCTGTTCATACTCTCCATTCAGTAGTACCGAAGACACATATGCCTTCCGGGAAGACTCTACTCAAGCGATGATCAGTTTGACGAGGTTACAACTTCAAGGGGCAGAAAGAAATCTTAATTTTAGCTATGTTTTTTGCTATCTTTTCACACCATCTCTGTTGGATGAACTTCCTATCAAATGGCTTTGAACTGCTACTTCCCCGTACACCTCCCCTCATAACCCTCCAGTAGCTCCCCTGCCCCCTTCCCGACTGAACAGTTTCTTCGCTTCCAGTCTCTTGCCATTGTCCTGGTTTCCCTGGTTCTGCTCACATCTAGCCCTCTTTGCTCCCCTGCCTGCCCCATGCTGGGTCGTTGACATGAATTTCTTCTTTGTGGGTGTTAGCCAGTTTCCTCTTTAAATCTCCCTGCCGTTGGCCAGGCTCGCACCAGATAGCTTCACCAGCATGTCAGGCATTCTCATCATATTGAAAGGCTTCCTGAAATCCTAGCCTCTCTGTGAACCAGAGCATTGGCATACAGTAGGCGTTCATTCTTTCCTGAAGAAAATTGATTCCCTCCACATTGGAAGTACAGCAGTGATTTCTTTCCTACCAGACTCCAACAGATTAGATTGCTCAACACACAAAAAAGCATGCCCACCAAACCTTGTACAGTCTATTCTCAGGCTAGATTTTCTTTTCTAGACTGAACTTACACTGATCTAAGAACTGACTTCAGAATTCCCTTTTAAAAAGGATCTGTTTTAAAAAACTCCTTAATGAATATGGTGATTTTAAAACATGTCCCCAAATTCGCTGGTGCTCTACCCATTGAGAGGTGGGATTTACGTTCCTGTCCATTGGATCTGGGTTCTGTAATTGTTTGTCAAATAGTGATGGTAAAACTGATGCTGTGTCAGTTTCTGAAATCAGCCTTAAGAAACTGGCAGCATCCGCCTCCTGTCTCCTGGGGGACTCACCATTGAAACCCAGCCACCATGTTTTGAGGAAGCCCAAGCAGTGAGAGGCCCAAACGAAGAGGCCCTTTGCTCTTGGGCCCAGCTGACTCAGCAGGCAGCCGGCATCAACGTAACAGTCGTGTGAGTGAGCCATCCTGGAAGGAGATTCTCTAGTCCCCGGACTGCTGCTGTGTGCAGCAAAGCCAAGCTTTCCATGGCAAACCCTGCCCATATTGCAGATTCATGAGCTAAACAAATGATTTTTATTGTTTAGCTTTTTAGTTATAATTAAAAACAAATGAATGTTTTTAAGCCACTAAGTTTTGGAGTACCTTATTTCATAACTACCTAGAACAATGGGTATGGTTGATCACGAGGGAATGTCTTCTGGACATAGTGTAGTGGGTCTGTCTTAGTAGGGCTTTATTTGGTGGTTAAAGTGGTTTGATTTAGCAAGAAATGACAGGAAATTGGAAGATGGGTAGTCTCAAGCTAGGGAGCAAAGGAGCAGAGAATGAAAGGAGGGAGAGGATGAAGCAAAAATTCACTCAACAACCAGTGAAAATTGTCTCCTGCAGAGATGGCATGGGGCTATTTAAGAATAGGAATGTCAGTGGTTCAGGTTTAAGGTGTTTGCTAAGACAGCTGCCTGCCATGTGGTGAACCACCTGCTAATCCCCATCGGATCACCCTAAACCTTCTGCCAAATCCTGCCGTACACATGGTTCCTGAGTCTGGAATACTCAACTGGAATACAGGATTGGTTGGGTGTGCTGTCCAGTGAAGGCTATCAGGGCAGCGCAATGCAGAGAAAAACAAGGACTTCATGTAAAAGGGAGAAAAAAGGAAGAATGTAGTTTGAGAACTCATTGGAAACAAGAGCTGGAAGCCGGAAATGATTCAGGGACATATGAGGCCTGGAACTGCCCTTAATTTCCTTTCTTGCTCTA